AGACCCAGTTCCTGTAGGTGTTGGTGAAATTCACCGAGCTGTTTGTGTCTACGGGTGCTATTTTGTACTGAACAAAACTGCTTTTGATGGTCCGACGTTAGTAGAATTTCGACAACAGGTACATAGTCGTTATGTCTCCCATGGCTGATGCAGAGGAAAAACAATGGCGAAAAGTTGAACTGTTTTCAAGGCGATAAGCCACGCCCCTTCTGTGAATTACGCAATTCATGCAAATTGACCAGAAGTGGTCCCCGAGAGTGTGCGGGGCGTTTGAGGTGGCGCAGCACAAGAGGCCAAGACTCAGCCTTGGTTTTATGCTATAGTGGGAGCACATAACAGCTTTGCACACTCTGCATTCCGTCAACCAGTTTCACGAGGCGGTCACCTGGATTGATTTTCAACTAAGTAAAGAAATGACAGTCCATCATTACTTTAAGACCGGAAGGTCAGTCAATCCTGAACAAGAACTTTGAATGGATCCAGAAGTGCAGTCGCTGCACTTGTGGATCGCTGTGATGAAACTGTCTCTTATGAAGACCCACTAGGACAGGAAGACCAAGAGTTACCTCTGCCGCCGGGGATAACTTCAAGAGTTACCAGCCCCCAGAAAACTCAGATTTGAGTTTGCATAAATGCTTGGCAAAGTTCAGGTAGCAGACGTATCGCAACATCAACTGTTCAGAGGAGACCACATAAGCGTGCAAAGCTGTCATGAAGGCTAAAGGTTCAAAAGTCAGGAACGGGGTCAATATAGAACCCCAATCTATGAAAACCTGCAGGGCGAGAAAGCACAACTACTCTGTGGAAGAAACAAAGTTAGTGATAGTGCATTAATGTTGACAGTAATAGTAATGGTCTTAGTGGTAGGTGTCAGCAGGGCCATGGAAGGATCAGGGTCTAGATATAACCATGATCCATGTAAATCTGCAAGGCGAGAAAGCACAAAAAAGGTGTGTCCAAACTTTTGAATGGTACTGCTGTTGTAACCAATTTTTTAGAATATTTGAGTAAAGGCAATTGTCATGTGATTCAAAGTATACAACTGTGGTCATGTGATGAGTTCTGCGGAAGAAAGCAGTATAACGTGTTTTAAAGGGTCAAGCGTTTACTCTATGCTTCTGCTTATAGGGTATTAAGGCAGTGGTGGCAGAGAGCTATGAGCGGATCCACCGCAGTAACCTGGTGGGGATGGGAGTGATTCCTCTGGAGTATCTGGCAGGAGACACGGCGGATAGCCTGGGACTGAGTGGCCGAGAACGCTACACCATCATAATGCCCGAGAAACTCACACCCCGGATGATTGTGGATGTTAAGGTCCGTCAGACACTTTCCTTATAATTTTACTGTCGAAGTGATTTAACGCATCGCGTTGTCTCTGCCCTCACAGCTGGACACGGGGAAAACATTCCAAGCCAGGATGAGATTCGACACCGATGTGGAGCTGGAGTATTTCCACCACGGAGGCATCCTTAACTACATGATCCGCAAGATGTCCGAAAACTAATCCGCCAGTCATTTTCTAATTGTCAGCCATGGTCCAACATCTGAGGTTTTGGTTGACATAAGAATAGCGTCATAACAATGCTGTCACAACATCACATCAACCAGATGTTGTAGCGGCTGTCTAAAGGGTCTTATCTATGTAATTTCGGTCTTCATCACGTTCAAAAACATAAGAGTTGCCCTTGAGCTGCGTTTCTTATATATATATATATATATATATATATATACACAACTCAATTCCACTCAATTCCTGTAAGAGCCATTTTGTTGTTTTGATTATTAACCTCCCACCCTGTAGGGGTCTTGAGCTTTGTTCCAATTAGGCCGCAAGGTCGATATAATCAGCAGGATTACCTGCCACAGATGTTGGTCGGGAGCAGTGTTAATTTCGTCGGTGAAAACTATGACAAATTTTTTCCATGACTAAGACGTGACGAAAACAATCTTAAAAAATAAAAACTATGACTAAATCTATTCTAACTTTCGTTAACGAGACGAGACAAACATGTTGGTCGTTGACGAAGTCACGATACTTTTTCCCCCTAAATTCGTACGCAGCTGACAGACAACAGACAGACAAAGTACGGCGGATATTAACGTGTCATGATGACGTCATCCACGAACCCAGAACGCGCGCTCGCATCTGTGGTTCTTGTGCACCGACTACGGACGGCGACGACTATTTTACGCTTCGGCGAGTTTGAATGTGGCTTCCTTAGTTTAGCTCAGCTGTCTCGGTTTAGCTGACTGTTAGCAGGCTGAAGCCGCGCTGCTTCACAGAAACATGAAGACACGTTTAACAGACTGTCGGACCTTTCTGCTCTGTTCTCTGGCGACGGCAGGCAGCGTTTCCTCGGTGGATGAGACGGTCCGTTACAGGCTTCTCCAAACACGTCTAACATAATAAAGTCATTGCAGGTTCTGAAGCCAAGAAAATAATGTATTGTACCGATTGTAGGACGTTAAGGAGTCTTTTGTTGGGACAGTGGAAACAATAAAGGACCATGAAGTTTCCGGTGTCCATGTCAAAAGCATTGCAAGTAAACAGACAAAGACAACAAAGTGTTGCGTTTAGATCCCTGGTCCTCATAAAGTTGTTACACCTTTGCCAATTTGTTAAATTGCCTTGCAAATAAATGCTTTGCTATTTGTTAAAATCCAAATCCTTTCATATAATTATTTTTCACATGTCATTTATATTAGCTCCCACAAACACTTCAACCATTTGTTCTTGGCCCAGCTCCTCCGTCAAATTTTACAACCCATTGTGGCCCGCGAGTCAAAAAGTTTGCCGACCCCTGATATAGACCTGTCCTAGGAGGAACATCTAATGGACAACCAAGTACTGCAAGCTAGACTATTATGCAGTTGTAGACACAACACAGGGGGTCCCTGTTTAGGGGGTCTAGTTTTCGTTGAGGAAAACTAGACTTAAAATGTAAACTAAGGATTAAAATGACTAAATGTGACAAACTAATATGCATTTTTCGTCTAAAGACTAAGACTAAATCAAAAATAGCTGCCAAAATTAACACTGCTTCACAGTCCATCAAATATGTATATAACCTCATCTGTCCTCATTTACAGTTGTGGTCAAAAGTACATAATGCCACGACTTGAGTTTCCCGTTATTTCTACATTTCAGATTTTTCTCTGATAGAGTGATTGGAACAGATACCACTTTGTCACAAAAAACATTTATGAAGTTTGGTTCTTTTATGACTTTATTATGGGTTAACAGAAAAAGTGATCAAATCTGCTGAGTTTCCACTAAACCCGCTTCTTGAAACAGACCCCAGGAGACATAGTTCTCGTTGACAACAGCGACACGTGAATCATGTATACTTGGAAAGATACTAGACATTTTCTGATAGGAAAGGAGCAGTGTAAGTGAGAGACCAGTGACAAAGATGTCGTCTTTGCAAAGCAACAGACATGTATAAATATTGGAGACCCACAAAGATGGAATGGTCTTGTCCGTCTGCCAGAACCCATTAGGGGCCGGTATGTAGGAGCCATTTTGTGGTTTTGATTATTAACCTCCCACCCCTTGGGGGTGTGGCACTTTATTTCTACCTTGTGGCCTAAGTGAAACAATCTGCAGGATTACCTGCCACAGGTGTTTGTGGGAAAGCAAATAGTTTTTGACCGTGACAGAGCGAGCGTGGAAGAGCGATGGTGTCAATGGTTGAATGCACTTATTGTAAGTCACTTTGGATAAAAGCGTCAGCTAAATGACATGTAATGTAATGTGTCACTAATGAACAAAATAAAAGGACTAAGACAAGGAACATTGAATGCGTCAAAACAAACTATAATTAAAACTACAAATAAAACTAATTCCTATGACAAATTATTCATATATTGCGAGTAGTAATCCATGTTTACGGCAGGACCACTGCAGGGACTCCACCATCCACAGAAGCCTGTCGGGAGGGAGAGCACAAAGACTTTAGGAAAGGGTAATATTGGTTTATGATGACAGTAATAGTAATGTTATTAATATTTTAAATAATAATAGCAGTAATTGTCAGCAGGGCCTTGGCAGAAGGCAGGAAGAGGGTCCAGTTAGAACTATGATCCATGGAAACCTGTAAGGCGAGAAAGCACAAATACTCCATGGAAGAAACGGTTAGTGATGCGCATTCATGTTCACAGTAATACAAATGGGAATATTGATGGCTACCACTAAATCATTTGAGCTGTGTAGCCGCTATCAAGTTGACAGCATAAGTAAAACAACTGGTTATAGTTCCAGGTGTGCTTCATTAAAACACTCACGTACTTAAGAGTATTGGAGACGGTAGCCTTCGTTTTATCCGCCCGTCCATGTCGCTCTGCTTTCGTACAAACTTTGCCTCGTGCTGCACCCGCTCGAAGCTCTGCAAGCGTCTAAGAACTTTGAATTTGATGAAATTGCACTTTGTTTCTTGTTCTTCTGGGTTTGTATCCTTATGGTTGAAATGCACCTATTGTAAGTTGCTTTGGGTAAAAGCGTCAGCTAAATGACATGATATGCAACTTGCGCATGCACGTTACAGATGTGAATCGTTACGTATTTACAACTAATGTTTAAAACTGCCCGCATTACTATGTCCTAAAAGCATCTTGTTTTAACAGCACAGTCTGTAGTTTCAAATCACGTCTTCTCATAGAATTTTCGAGTTCATTAATTATTATGAAAGTCTCAATGTTAATATCCACACTTTCAACCTTACGTCACAACATGACACATCAACAAATTGAATTTATATATATATATATATATATATATATATATATATATATATATAACATATATATAAACAAGTTGAGATGCAGTTTGCGTTCTTGTTATCACTTCATCATTTTATCTTACATTTATGATAAATTAACCTATTTAACATAAATTCTTGAGTTATTGCCATACAAAGAGATCTTTAACTCCTCGTTCAAAAGTGTACATACCTGAAAACAAAACAACAATACTCAATGAAAAATAACAATTATCACACTAATAATAATTCGGATTAATTTATTCAATAAAGTCAACATTATTGACATTTCACTTATGAATTAACAAACTGATTTGATAATCATCCTCCAGTAATGTATAATTTAAATGCATGTTTAAATCATTAAATAGATTTGTGTCATTCCTCAGTCAACCCCAAGTACTTGACTGGATTGGATACAGCAGTGTGCACATTTAACATTGATATACACATCCTTAATATTAATATATTCATGTCTGGCATTTAAACGGAGGACAGGACGAGATCCATAACTCAACGGTGTTTCTTCTCAATGCCATAGCTCCATTGAGATATAACAAAAGTGCATGCATTGTCCTCCAATGATTTGGGCCATTCATTAGCACAACTTACACCTGAAACGTTTTGATGTAATACACTACTGCAAGGCTCCCTAAAACATTTTGAGTAGCTTTGAAAAAAGTTTAGTGCACCACAACAGCATGATTTTGACAACCCCTCCAAAATCTGATCCTTTTGCACAAATGCTGGTGTCATAAAAAACGCAGGTCTAATCTCTCAAACAATTTAATTTAAAAACAAGTTATTGTGCAGAAACAAGTAGAACTAATACAGTGGTAATTGGAAAATTTTACATATCTGACATTGACCAACATGAGTTCAACGTATCAATGCAATATGTGAGTTAAAGTTGAAGATGCAACTCATTTAGAGACAGACAGTTTGACATGACAGAAACAAAAAAAGACACGGAAAGAAACAGAGAAATCAGTGTGTAAATTAACTAACTAAAGAGAGGAATATCTAATTCTCTATAGAAATCCATTCCTCTTCCCTCATCAGAGAGGTCTGGCTCGGGTATACAGCAGCACTAAGTGTCTTGTTCAGGTTGATTTTGTTTTGATCAGCCAGTAACGCATTTCATTGGAAACATGGAAACAAGTATGGTTTAGACCAGTGGTGACCAATCTTTCGATCGCGATCGACCAGTTGATTGCCGAGCTATTGAAAAAAGAAAAAAAATCAAATCGGGTCACCATGCATGCGGTCGACCGTGGGAGCTAGCTGAAAACTTGGTAGTGCTAATTGGCGATCCGTGCTTACAAAAAGGAACATATTTAACTACATTAAAAAGCAACACTTGCTAAATCGGCTTATTTGATGAAATTGCACTTTCTTGTTTCTTGTACAAAACTAGTTTATCGTATTGTTATTGAAATGCGCTCAGGGAGAAAAATCATTTGAATTTAAAACTACCAAACCCAAACATGGCTATGTACGACACAAAAAAGAAACTGTCTGGTGGCAAAATTCTATAAAATATATCAGTGCTTTCCCTACCATTGAAGGGTATTCCCACTGGCCTCTGTCAAAAACGGAGTCCCCCCTACTGTAGTACAACAGTACAATATCACTTATTTGAAATACCTGCTTTCCAAAGTATGGCTTTAGCTTGAAGAGGTTGTTCTACATCACACGACATATAGCAAAACATTGGCTTTCGTAGCCCTTTCATTAATCTTTTTGATCTATCACAAAGCAGGCCTTCAAACTGGAACTGTTATGTGTTCCAAACCATACACCCGTAGGTCCTGTATGCTTTTTATACTGATTAGCAAACATGAGATTTTGATGACATGTTATCTGAACTAGAGAATTTAAACTGTGATAACACATTTTATGAGGAACTAACCCAACGAAATTCAAAAGGTACAAGGCTTTACTGTACAAGTGATATGAGCTCTGAGCTATTTCTGTTGCAGTATCAAGGCAGGCCAACACACTTCCTCCCTTCCTTGGAAAGAGGAAATGAAACGCGTGAGCGTCAAGAGCAATAGAAGGCAGTGTTTCCCCATGGTTTACGACTTCAGGGGGGTTGTAGTCAGGTGAACAGTTCGGCAGACGGGGGGAGTAGTAGTAGTAGTAGTAGTTGGGCGAACGGTTCAGCTGACAGGGAATGGGGTGAGGGGCGGAGATTTGTTTTTGTTCTTTAAAATATATAGATAGGGGAAGTCATTTCAGGGGGGGGGGGGCATTCAAGAGTAAGGTCAGTAGAGAAAGGGGAAGTGGAGAAGTAGGAAATATTTGATCAGATATCAACTTCTATAAATGCTCACGTTTACATTCAAGCCATATTAGCTAAATTTTCTTTTTTAAATTTACTTTTACACACGTAACACCCTTTTAATGTCCTCAAGTGTACGGGCCTTGGAAAGTAATTATTATCTCCACTGCTCAGACATCCTGGGTCTATCAATATCCCCTCAACCAGACAGCCACCCTATGGTCAGCTCAGAGTATAATCCCTTCATCTCATCCCAGATGTATGCTCATAAAAGCTTGAAATCAAGCTATTGAAGAGATTGCAACATATGCAGGAAATTATGAGGGAAATATTACTATTACTTTGTGGCATGGCTGTGCGTTTGCAAATCATCCTTCACAGTTGGTATTCTAAAAGAAAAATGGAAGTCTTTGTGATCAGTGGCATTTTAGGGGCTTCTTGGAGTGTTCCTTTGCAAGCTGGTCTCTCTCAGGTCCGTAAATGCTGTTAGCATGCCAGGAGAAGCACACGATGATGGAGACGATGGTGGTCTGGAGGAGTAGCATTACCCCATAGGTTGAAGCTATGGTAGGTCCTGGTAGGCGGGAGAGGATAGCAGGTGGCAGGAGCAGAGTCTGGCTGAGCAGGATAGCCCTCACCTCGGTTTTGATCATGTGAAGTTCGTCGAGGATTGACAAAAATGTGCAACAGTGGAACCACTGGTGGCTGTGCCCCCAGATGTCGAAACTGCCTGGAGATAGCCTCTCGGGGAACTTGCTGATATTGAAGACGGCCGACACCAGCAGCCAGAGGCAGTGGCGATAGAAGAAGCCGGCTGTGGAGGTGGAAATTTCAAAAGAGGAGGAGGTGGTAGAGTAAGGGGATCTGGTAAGGAGGCGATAGAAGACTGGCGTGGAGGAAATGAGGAACGGGAAGAGAAAAACAAATGTTCGGATGACATATCGATGACGCCTCCATCTGTGCCGAGTGTTGCAGCAAGATAAGACGCAAAGGATTGCTACAACGCATGCGGTCGGAATGTACAAGGTCTCAAATAACACACCGAAATCTGGGATTACATAAAATGATTTAAGAGATCTTGCAGGTTCAATTTTCATGTCCATTTGGGAGCCATTTTGGCCTCCTGAATCTTTTATTCCTGCCCGAGGGTGGATGTAGTAGTAGTATGCCAACGATGAACCAACGGTGTAAGAACTGATAGTGCCGTAATCCACAAAGAAGCAGACTTCTCTTACCACCAAAGACATTGAGTTCAGCAGATGGGCCATGCTGCTAGCCATTAACAGACAGAACACCCCGATGAAGTAGTTCCATAATGGATAGAAGAATGGGGAAGCACCATGTGGCGCACCTTCCCAACCAAACACCTCCATAAAGTAGTACAAAAAAATAAAAAGTGGGAGGAAGTGTGTCCAGAAGTTGCCTGTTTCATTGGTGGGCCTGATTGCCGATAGTAAGCAATCCCTCAGGCTGTAGTTTGGGAACCGGTAGCCAGTCAGGATGTAGTTTTCTAAGACACGCGGTGGCACATCCGTATGCCTCAGAAGAGGTAACGGTTGGCCAAAGTTCAGAAGCATAATGTTTTGTTTATTGACAGTCAAATGTATTTTGAATCAGTCTTTTCAAACAGTACTAGAGCGTTTATTGCTGGAGATTTCTTCTCTAATCACAGCATAGTAAGTGATTACCATTCAGTCTCCAGCTAATGCAGTCTCCAGCTAATGAGCTAATGAGTACTTATCTACATAAGGCATCCGCAGGCTCAAAAAGACCTTTCTGTCCTGCTCTTCTTTGGACCTTCGATCCCGGCCCTAAAGTGGGCTCAGACAGCTGTGGGCCAATCAAAAGAGCAGAGCTGGTGTATACAGAGCGAAGATGGCAGGGCAGAGTGTAGTATCCAGAATACTTTGGCCAACTGCTTGGTTCATTTTTCCTTTTGGAAAACCACCAGCGTTGTAAAAGCCAGAACAAACATCCGGCATGCATTATATTTGGTTCCCTTCCGTTGCATAGATCATTATGCGTAGATGGTTTTGCCTGCACATTTGACTTACGTGGCTTGTGGAGAGTTCTGAAGCAGCAAATTTAACAGCATTATATGGTTGAACAACTCGTCAGTTACTGTCCAATGTATCCATACAGCCGCCGAGATGTCCCAGACACGTCCGTTAAGCTTTGTGGTAAGTAGGTCATGCTGGCGTGCAGCACTACGGGCGGCAGCCGGCTTCTCCTCATTCCGTTGTTCCCGGTCTATGTCCGACTTCCACTGTATTTAGCTCTCATTCCGTTGCAATGCGCTGCTGACAATTCGAAATCCCCAGGGTCCGAAAGGCAAAACATTTAAGTGTGCCGCTTTTCGGTCCTTCAACGCAGGTTTAAATACATTCTGTGAAGGTCAGCACCGTGCCGCGAGTCTTTAGCACTGTAACTTTGAAGCCAACCGGCATTTCAGCAAAACACCGAGGAGAACCGGAGACTATTTTATTAGGAACCAGCGTCAAGTTACGCATGCGAAAAAAACACTTCCGGTTATATGTTTGAGAATAAAACTCCACGGTTATAAAACCCTCATTAGAGGTCACACTTCTCGTTTCAAGTAACATATACGCTAAAAGCATCATTCAGTTCCACAATAACTTTACATCGAATTCAAATGAGCTGTAATGGCATTCCTGCAGTATTGTCAACGCAAAATGTAGGCCCTAACTGTAGACTAGTATTCCAGAATGTGACAAAAACACTACAAATACTATACTTCAATGATATCAAGACACATAATGAATGTTTGAATTATGGTATTTAAAAATCTATGCAAGGAGTATAAAATGTATTCTAAACCCCACTGTTAAAAGGAAATGATTGAAATGAAAAAGAGAGCTAGATGATACATCCTCAATTGTATGCATCATTATGTTACACCACATTTTATAGTATACTTTATATCTTTCAGTGTTTATCAGTATATTTGTCATCAGTGTGGGCTTCTAGTATATATATTTTGCAGCATCTAGGTTACGTGGTAGCTAATGTACAGACACTTTGTTTCTCTTATTCTGAAATATTTTCCTTATTTGTCACACCAGCAGACATGGTTGTAATACATAATAAAGAAATCCTCCAAATAGTTTTATTGTCAGCGAAGAATGTGATAGACAACCTTGTCCTTTTATTTTGAAGGCAAAACCACTCTGTGTCAATTCCTCCTTCTGACGCATTGCGTGCGATGAGTCAATTCAATGTCAAAGTATTTCTACGCGTTGCTTTTTTGCGTTTCTGTCCTTAACACTCACAGCTGCGGAGAAATGCGGAGTACCGAGGTAAACACTGTAAGAGGTAAATACTGCCGTGCTGATCTAACTGTGCTCCCGTTATCTTCCTGTTGAGTAACGGTGTTACAACCCAACTGTTTTTTAAACCTACTGGGCCCCGTTCCTCGTACGTGGCTAACTGATTTAGCCGGATAATATTCAGGATAAGATGAGGTAGTTCAGGCTTTTCGGTTCACCGAAGCGAGTTTGGCTAAATTACCATAGCAACACATCGAAAAACCTGAACCTGCTCCGGCGCAGATTCTTTTGAACTGCTGGATTAGTTCACCACTCCCCCGTAAAAAAGGCAGCTCACTTCCTAATTGATGAAGGAGCGATATCAGTTAGATTCACGTTTTATAGGGAGAGAGTTCTCCGAGATCACAAAGATCTGCTATGGCGTCACGATGACGTCCTGTACGAGCGCTATCGATGCTGAAGATAAGGAATAATGTATTTACAAGAATAGTTTCTCGGGCCGTAACGTTACGTGAAGTCATATACAATCAATGACAATGAATACATGTGTTAGTAGTTTGTAGTTTATTAAATCTAAGAAAACAGTGAAGAAAAGTATGTCAACACAACATAACAAGACAATTGCAGATTAAGAACTATCTACATACGGAGTCTCCTTTTTACAGTAGTGCCCAGAGGGCCTCCTTGTCCTCCACGTCAGGTCCTGCCTTGCACAGAGGAGCCATGAACCCCAGAACACGCGTTCTGAGGTTCATGGCTCCTCTGTGCTTCTCCTCTCTCTATTGGACCTGGTGTTTCTCCTCTTCCTGTGCTCTCGGCATCATTGCCTGTCCTCTCACTGCCTGAAAAAATATGTTGAATTTAAGAGTTAACCAGTTAAGCAGCCTGTCAATTACACTGACAACATAAGTTAAAGGAACACTCATGTACTACCTATGTCATCATAAATAGCCTATACAGCATGTTTTGTTTTCACATTGAGAACTGACTTGTTTTCTAATCTACGCGTAACCAGGCGTTTTTCTTTTACCGTGCACGACCAGCGAACACAGAGCGCAGAAGGCGTCACGCCCCCCCCGTCGGACCTTCTCGACCGGTCCGTGAAATATTGTCTGACATGAAACCGGTCCGTGAGGTAAGAAAGGTCGGGGACCACTGGGCTGATCCACAGCGTGTATGTTTACACACCTCCTGGATCCTGACTGGTCGCTGCTGCAGCCGCAAGGCACTGATTGGATGCTCACAGCCCGTAATACAGCGCAGATGAACATGATTCAGACTACGGCGTTTATATGTTCAACAATAGGAAACGTAGTCTTAGCTGTTTTAAAATTACACCAAGTTTATTTCGGATTATTCCAACGGAAGAGTACAAGGCGCAGGGAAGTTTGAGGTGCGTAAACGCCACTTATAGGTGCGTAAACGCTATTTATAGGTGCGTAAACGCTATTTCCAAAATTCCAGAGGTGCGTAAACGGCGTTTACCCTCCACTACAGCCCTGATCATATATATGTGTAGATGACCATATAGAACCAGGGAATTATACAGTATACTGCCTTACACTGTCTCTCATACTGTCCATCTTCTTTTTGACACTAAGGGGGCGGAGCCAGTCACCATGGTATCTCTACAGTTAATTGGTTACAAACCCCGTCTTCGGGTTGGCTGGAGTTCTGCATTCAGAGAACTATAGAAGCCCATTTCCGCACTAAAGAAAGAGGATAGAAAGTCAAAATTAAGAGATAAAACGTTGTCAAAACACAAATGACACCTGTATGTAACCGTAGATAACAACCAGCTACAACCCTAATTTATCCTCTTTACCGGCACCCCTTTGGCCGCACATTAAGACGCGGCCATCTCGGAAACCGGTCCGTATTGGTAAAATGACGTCTGAATCGAAAATTCGAAAATAGAAATTATGAGATAAGATGCCCAGGCTCCTCCATATTTTGGTAAAATAGTTGGAGGGGGGAGGAGGATTGGGGGGTTCGAGGAGGTTGGAAAAGATATAAAAGTTTTTGAGGTGGTTAGACTAGAAATGCTGGTATGTAAAGGCATCAACTATTAGTGAACTGGGACACTTTCTTTGGAAGCCTTTTTCTCAAAATTCAGTTCAGTGACAATGGTTATAATATGATGTATCTTGCTTACTATTTGGAGTATAAAAACAATATTGTGGTGTCTTTAGAAAACTAAGAACCTCTTTCCAACAGTATATGGCACTCCAAATTTGTTTTGGGGTGAATATGCTTGAAAATGACAGTAATAATTATATATATTATACTGCAAAGTAATAATACGTGTTTGATACCTTTTGGATCATGGGATGTTTACTGAAACTGATTTGGCTGGCCCTACCAAAAAAAAATCCACCAGCCGCCACTGCCTTTAGTTTTAGATAGTCATTAAGTTGAATCACATCAGTATGGAGGAAACCTTCTGGTGTAGATTGATCTGAAACAACTTGTCACCTTGTGCGTGTTTTAGAACCATTTCAAACATGTGTATCAATACTTTTTTGCGCAGCCAGCACATTTGGATTAAAACGGATATTCTTTTCTGAGTTATGAAGGTACCGTATGTACAGACACTTACAAAGAATACACTTAAGAAAATATATTAAAACGACTGGAAATCTAACCCCTTTCATTTCATTTCCTTCTGTAATGTCTGGTATGACAATCCGCTGCCCTTTCATCAGAAGGTCACCGTTCATGTGTAATAGTGATGGGAAGTTCTTTTTACCGACTCGGTTCTTTGAATCTCGTTCAGTAAAATGAACAAATCTTTTTTTGAGTCATTCGTTCATGTCGGTCATTTGTTGACGGGGTGGACGAACGGTGAACGAACGAATCATTCTTCGAGTCATTTGTTGACGTGGGTAAGATATTACCGACCGTTCAGTAAAATGAACAAATCTTTTTTTTGAGAGGACTCGTTACTCTCGAGTCCTTGTAAGGATTTGTTCAAAATGAACGAATCGTTCACGAACGACACATCACTAATGTGTAATTCACTGGTGGACCCAATAGGGCATTGGTCACCAAACTAAGGCCCGCAGGCCGACTCAGGCCCGCCACCCCCCTTTGACTGGCCCCTCTCCCCCCCACTACTTGAACCGGCCCAATGAGGCAATGCCCAAAAGTCGTTATGGCCTATTTTTTTTAATTGCTTTTTGGAAAATAATAACATGTCTGCATCTGGTATTTGGTTGATTTTTTCAGTTAAAAATTTATATTTATAAAATGAACGATATTTGCCAAATTTTCATCACCCGACTCGAGATCAAGCAGTGACAGACAACGCGCGCGCAGATAACGGTCAGTTTTCAGGATAGGACAGTGCTGACAGTGTTGGGCAAGTTACTTCTAAAATGTAATTGTACTGTCACTCACAGACTTTTTTTCCCTCTCTGCCGAAATGTTTCGAGGTGTTGGTGAATTCTTTAAAAAAAAAAAAACTTCCACGCAGGACTTCACTGTGAGCAGACTGTTTAGAGACGATGTGACCGGCATGTAACGTTAAAGTTATCTGCTACTGTAGCAGAGCTGCAAGTTTAACTGAAAGAACGAGCAGAGAGAAAGAGAGACGGTCGGGTGCGCGCACTCTCTCTCTTTGGAGCCTTCACCGTCTCCAAACTAAGCGCTTTCTTGCTCTCTTTCCCTCGCACATATTAATCAAAATAGTCATGGAAATGTGCCAAAAAGTCATGGAAGAAGTATTGAATATGGTGCTTCTTGTGTTCAATCTGTCATCCCTCCATGCCAGGGCTCCAGAAGGCACCCTGAAGTGAGGAGAGGAAAGGAGATTGCTGTTGCTGACCCCATCCCGAAGACAATACTTCAACAAGTGCAAATCCAGCTCACCTACATATACTACTGATTTTGATTCCCATTATTCTGTATTATGGTTGTAGTTTAGTTTTGAGCCTACTGCTCATTGTGTTGCACGGTGTACCGGTACTAGAAAGGTATCGCGGTACGCTGAAAACAAGTTAAGTTAAGTTGAAAACAATACGGTTTTGAATATTTTTAGTACCGGTACTTTAAAAAAAGCATGCAATTGGAGCGCACTCACTGTTCCGCTCCATGTCAGGCTGCCTGCACACATTGACTGCGCAGCTCTCACACATGCAAGTTATCAGGGGACACGTGCCCTCATGTAGCAGACTGCTCACCCATATAGCCTACAGCCTAACACGATTAGCCTTAGCCTAGCTTAGCTCGGGTGACCAGACGTCCTCTTTCACCCCGACGCATTTTTTAGGTCTCGAAAAG